GGACTAGGGCTTGGATTATTCACAGCGGCTGAGGCTGAAAACATTGATGAATGGGGCAAAGCAAGAAAATTTTGAAAAGAAATTATGATGGAGATGTCTTATCGTAAATTTTGATATCAGATTCGGTCCCTTGAGAAGAGGAAGTCAGTAAAATGTAAGCAAAATGCACTTTAGTGTGTTGTTTATTTAACAAAGTGTATGTCTGCTTTTGTCCACAGTGCGAACAAAACCGAATAAGGAATAGACGCTGCGAAAATAAGGTTAGCCAGCCATCAGATATCCGCAGAAAAGTGACGCGCATCTCGGATGTCATTAGAGCAGATTAACTTCCTTCTCTATCCTGCACAGGAGAGCAGACGAAAATTCTCGGGTGATTATGTTCTCACACCGACTATTCAACCTTTTTGTTATTATGTCCAAATTTAGAACTCTTTCTTTTACCTTTAGGCTCTTCATCATCATCACAGATTTCACCATCTTCTGGTAGTTCACCGTCTTCAAAATCTCTGGATTCTTGATAATCACTTGGGCTGGCCATTAGATCTACCATAACCTGAAAATTCGCTTGGGTACTTGGGATTTCCCTCTTTCATATGGGTAGATAATGAGACGATATTGGTAAAAATCTTCGATGGTTAGGAACAGGTCAAGACTTCAAGGCTTTGAAATGTAATTCTAAGCTCTACAAAACCTTCTGCCAATTATCAATGGTCCCAATTTGAACGTTTAACATTCTCGGTACATTTTGTAAAGGGTCATTCATAGTACATTCAGCACTCAGACAAAGTCCCAGTCCATCAAATTAACCTTCACAATGATTCAACACACCAACCGCGATTCCAGAACACACTACAATGAGAAAGAAGCAAAGTGTCTAATCAGAAGAAAAAGACTATCAGAACCTAGTAGACAAGTTTCAACCAACCCTGTGTGTGTAAGCAAATGAAGCAAAGCGAACTATTAAGTGGGTAGAAGAGGTTTCTCAACTTGTCTCTCGCAACAAGTCTCAAGCATTTCTCGGCAAGAATGTTTCACTCAAATAAATCAGTAAACCCACGCTTGGTAATGTCTGTGTGTGATGAGTCACGTGAGACACTGATGTTATGAAAGTTGTACTTGAACAATATGGGGGGAAAGTCTACGTCAAGCGCACTAGAATGAGAATAACCCAACTTTTCACTAATAATTTCCTGCTTACTTATTCTCACTGTCGTGTTTCGGGTCTTCGCTGAGAATTACCGTAATCGCGGTGATGGGCGGGGACGATGAGAGGGTAGGAGGGTAGAGACAGGCAGAGATAGCAGCTTCGGGACCCCGCCCAATATCGATCGCGCCGGGACGAAACTGCGCTGCCGCGGTGGGAAAATCGTAAAATAGCAAAACAAATCTTTTGAAGCTTTGCTTATGGGAGAAATGGGAAGGAGACTGCGGCAGTACTAAATTCGGGTTATGTCATTTGATACCGA